TATTCCAAATGAATTTTATTGCTTTCAGGGTTCTGGTGCTCTTCATAATTTTTCTAGGGCAACCAACCAAAAGAGTCTACATGAAATTTGCTTGTTGATTTTCCACTCAATTTTTGGAGTACCTAATTTGTTCCGGATTTTTGGAAAAAGGGTTCGAGTACCTACCCCTTTTTAGCTTTTTTTTTGTGACTCGCCTTTGGTGAAATAATTTTTTTAAGATTCAATTTTTTTTTTTGCTGCAAAGGAGAAACATTTTTTTTATGGTCAACTGAAGATGTTGTAGAGCCAAATTGTAGCCGTAAGTTTCTACTTTAAGGAATTATTTTTGTTTTTGAGAAATAGAACTTTGAGGAAATTTGGAATAAAGAGGTCTTACCATTTCTCAACGCTACAGATCAAAGCTTTTGCGTTTACGGGAGCCATTTGGGATAAAGGAGCTACATATTATTTTAACTGTTTTAAGTCGGGTTTTGACTTCAATTTGTAGAGCAGGATGGGGAAAGATTACTACATATTTTGTTCTATTTGTAGATCGAAAGTTGGTTTTATGGTGATAATTCGAGGTAAATCAGCTAATACTGGCTCATCAAGGGCTTCTTGCCTGCCTGGTACTGTTAGACTACAGTTGGGCTTTCCTTGTCAATAAAAATTTGTGTTTTTTTTTGGACAATAAAGCTTATTTGATTTGATTTGATTTGGAAGGGGTATGCAAGTCGTTTGAGAGTTACCTTTGAGTGAGAACACAGGTTTTTGAACTTGATGGCGCAAGTACTACTGGAGTTGAAGACCCTCAGGGAAGTGTATTTGGGCCGTTATTGTTTAGTATCTGCACTAGGGACCTTCCAAAGCAGGCTGAGTTTTGCTCCATCACGATTTCATGTTCACTAGATAATTTTTAAAAAAATACAAGGCTTCTCTGCTGGAATTTTATAGCATAGCTTGGAATAGGCATTAAACTCTTTTTCGTGTAACATTGAAGGACACATGTGAATGTTACCTTTTGTGTAATTTAATTTCTGTTGCTTAATAAACGTTGTTATTATTATCCTTATTATTATTAAATAAGTCGCTTGAACCAATGTCGGAAATTGCCTTTTTTCAACCAAAACCCCATTTCTACTTCTGAAGAGTTTTTGGGTTTGAGGGAGCAATTTGGAATAAATGTGATGTCTGTCAACCTAGCATGACAACCGCTGCCGAATTCGAAAAAATTTAGTGGAGAATTTGTTGCTAATTATCTACCATATTTTTGGTTTTTTACTCTTGCCGATGTTGAAAAATTGCTACTCTGCCAACTTGATATCAAGCTAACGAAAAAAAATCAATTGTGGGGAATTTGTTTTTACATATTTTTTTGCTAATTATTTACCATATTTTTAATTTTTTTACTCTTCCGGTTTCGGAAAAATGCGATTATACCAGCCTGACATTCAAGCTACCAAAAAAATGTTATTAAGTATGTATTATTTTTATTTTTAATCAAGTTAATTATGCATACATGCTGTGGCTATTTTATTGTTCAGATAATTAGAGGAACAAACTTTCATCTATTCATTGTTCATCAATCAAAGCAATGCGGGAACATAAAACGATAGTCACAATATAGAATAAGTTATTGAGCTGATAATATTATTTTTAACTGTTTAATGACCGGTTTATACATCTTCAGATAAACTTACTGATAACACTGTCTACAAGAATAATTTTAACTGGTAAATATGTTTTTATTTACCCCTAGCAGAATGAGTCTATATTCTAATATAGAGCGATTTAGACCGATATGGAGACTTCTTGACTGGTAAATATTTATTTACCGCTAGCAGAATGAGTCTATAATAATATTAGAATATAGAACGATTTAGACCAATATGGAGACTACTTGACTTTTAAATATTTATTTATCGCCAGCAGAATCTTATTTTATAGTAATATACAACGACCCAGACCAGCATCGATTTTGAGTCTTTTTTACTGGTAAATATTTATTTACCGCTAGCAAAATGAGTTTATATTATAATATACAGAATTTTGGACCAATATGAAGACTTTTTGATTAGTAAATATTCATTTACCGTCAGCAGAATGGTTTTGTATTGTATTGTACAGCTATTCAGACCAATATGGATCGATATACAGGGTGTTGCATCGACGGGCGGGATATAGAAAATCTCATGTGCCTAATTTTTAATTTAATCAATTATGGAATCCAAATCATGTGACTTTACCAACCAGCCGGCATTTTGAAATTTTTATGAAGTTAGGATACAGGTTTTTTCATGCCAACAATGTCAGAAAAGTGTCAGATTTCCTCATGTCAGCAAGGGCTGAGTTCAGAAAATAGCTTTATGTGTATTGATAATCCCGCCAAAAGAAAACATATGTTTTTTGTTTATGTTGTGTCCCAACCAGGCGACATTTTTGACAGGTCGTTGGATTGCCTAATTATTATTGGCAATCTGAGGGATAAAAAGTATAAAAACGCAATCTGTAATCCCATGGGTCGGCCAGTTATCCGCCGAACAATAGAATTAGAACGGTAAGTTTATCTTGCAGATAGTTACCAGCAAGTTTATTTGAAAATAAATAAGCTGGGCCTTAAAAATATATATTATCGGCTCAAAAATGTATTCCATATTATGACTTGACGAACAATGAATAGATGAAAAAGTTGACTTTTCGAAAGTTGGTTCCTTTAATAGACCTATCTATTTTTACCTGTATGCGCGCGCAACACGAGGCAATGCATTTTTATTGGCTAACTGGTACAGGTGTGAAGTAATCCTTTTGCACGCTGGGCATCTCCTTGTCCTTGTTCATTGCCCGTGATCGATTTTCAATTGTTTGTGTTTTTGATTGACAAATACGTTGCACGTCACGCGGTTTTCCTCCCTCCTTTTTTATCCCGTGCAAATAATAAGAACGGATTGCTATACGTAAGTCTAACATAAATTGGTACGTTTTGCCTCGTCTTGCGCAATAAGCGTTCTGCGTCTTTTTCTATCTAATAAAGTTTTCGTATTATTACCTCTTCGTCTGGTAAAATAGATAGGTCTATTATCTGAACAATAAAATCGCCATAGCATGCATGCATAATTAACTTGATTAAAAATAAAAATAATGCATAGTAACATTTTTCTGGTGGAGACGGAAATTTAAAAAAAAAAAAAACTAACGATTTGACTGGTTGACTTTTGTAGCGTAATTATACACCTGTCCCTAAACAGGTGGGGTAGTTTGATACACCTGACATTGCACTTGCTTTTTCCACTGACTCTATACATGCCATATGGTTAAATTTCAACCGTCTTTTCACTTCAGTTCCTCATTTCATATAAGTCGGAAAGGTAGTGAGGTGATAATTTTGCTAAGTTATTCATTTAGTTTATTGTTAATCCATGTAACATATTAAAATGATGATTGGACCTTTACCAGTATTATTTAGGTGAGTTACTTTTTCTCGATTTGAAAATAATTGGAGGTACTCAAGGGTGTCATGAGTTTGGCAATTTGAATTAATTGAAGATTTGTCAGGTAGTAAACATACTTTCATTTCCACTCACTTCATTGAAATAACTACGTTAACACTATACTGTAGCTTCATCAGAATTAAGAAAGGTCTATGTTGATACAAATGATGACATTGAAAAAGAAAATGTCATATCAAACAGTTAACTTAAGCAGCTCCCTATTTTATACCTCAATATAAAATATATTTAACAGAGGTGAATTGTTTAGGTTTTATTTGTCCTTGAATGAATTGTCCAAACCATAGATTATTTTTTAATATTGATGAAGCTACAGGGTTCAAAGTATACTGTATTACTCAGAAAATAAATACAGGAGAGTTTGGATATAGCAAACCTGTTTAAAGTGAACACTCGGTTATAGCGAACGCTTTTCAAATTCCCATAAAAAATTCCCGTAAGACCAATGATGTAATTTTTTACCGTTTATAGCTCGGATATATAGTGAACCAATTTTGATGCACTTTTGGAGTTCACTATTTCCAGACTTCACTGTATTTGATTATAAATGAATTTCTGCCATGTTAATGCTGAATCAATACTATAATTTGGTAGTAATATAATGTTTTTTCAAGAAAATTTATTATTTCCTTAAGTCATTTGACTACTTATTTCTTTAATGCTAGTAAACTCACGGAAGCTTCACACCAAAAATCGGTAGGAATTTAATCATTACGTAAATAAATAATGCATTAAAATTCAACTGGGCAAATTGGCAAACAAGGAACAAGATCGATAAATTGAATCTATTCCTTTAGCAGCTTCAATAATAAACTTGAATGACGCAAATCTGTTTATCAACAATTTATTATTTATCTAAATTACCTCCGCTGTTAGCAAAAAGGAATTCTGAAGCCATAGAATGTATCAATAATTTCTATTAGCAGACAAAGTGAGTATGTTTAATTAAATTTTTCTCAGGGCCATTTCTCTGAAGTCATTTAACCAGTCTAGATCGTTAATTTAACAATACAATGTTGCTTAACCACAAATAATGCCAATTAAAAGCAATGATGTCATTGTTTCCGGTATTTGTCATTTGTTCCATTCCACTGTCTGTATAAATAATACCAAGTTGTTTGTTCCAACGAAGCTACATAGAAACAATTGGAATATTTGGAATAATATATTCAGCATTTTATATTTTATCCATCAGACATCGGTTGAGATCAAAGATAGTTGAAAAACTTTGTTGTATGACACACATTGACTTGCTCAAACTTTAAAACGTATGTTTAAAAAACTGCCCTGGCTACAATTGAATTCATAAGCTTAAAATTTTGTACAATTTATTACAGATTATTTTTTGTTAAAACAAAATTGAACATTGCTTTTCAACATGTTTGTTACATAGTCGCCTTAAAATGCAAAAATACCGCAGTTTTTACTGCGTTTCTAATCAATAACCATTGAAAATATTTTATTTTTGTACATAATCGCTTGAACGCATGTTGGTACGGTTGTTTCTTCCTGTAGAGACGGCCTTCGTCAGGGCACCGGTGTGGTGGTGGCTCTGTCACCAGTAACGCCTTTTAAGCGCTTCCACACACTAGGAGCATCACGTCGCCGTTTTGCCTCGACGTTTCTAGCCAAACGACCTTTATCCATCATCAATCTTGCTACTACTAAGGACAACGTGGACTTGAACATCACAAAGGTACAATTTTCACACAGCTGTAGTTATTTTTGTAGAATAATTGATTTACTTACTAACTTTCCATTTTTGGGCACAGTCTAAGTGGTGTGGTAGTAGTAATAATATTGAGTAGGTACCTAACTTAGAATACTTTGCTTTGTAGTAAACTAACAATAAATTTCTCGATATATATTTGCCAATCTCGTTATTGTGAGCCCTTTGATGCACTGTTTTTTTTTTTTTGTCTAAATCCACATTCAATGCTTGTCGTAATTTTCAAAATAAAAAGCCGAGCGTGGAGATACTACTTATTTTTTAGTGTTTTATGGCCTAATTAATGGGTAAAAGAATGTCGAAATGCCTATTTTATGTTAAATACTCGAAGAAATGTCCTTAATACTCTCCACACATAAAGCTTTTCCAAATAGGTATCGATTTTCAAGGGCCAAAAATTACTTTGAGAGCTTTGGTTCAAACCGACCTTATTGATCCTAGTAGACTTGTGTTGGTTTGGCTTTTTATGCAGCCAAAACTGCAAAAAAAAATTGTTACAAATACTTACTAAATAAACTGCTGGACAATTGCTTTCGAACAAGGTAAATATCGCCTAACTTTCAAGCTCGATATTTTTGGAACTAGACTAGATATCGACCTGCGGTTTTCACGGGCTGACAGATTGACTTTTTATGAAAAAAATTGCTATTTTGAAATTTTTTTAAATGTGTACTTTTTTTTATACAGGGTGTTAAAAGAGTCCATGATTTTCATCCCAATTTTGAATGTGTGTAACTTTCTCAGATAATTTTTTAAATTTCATTTCAATGCGGCGTTTTAATCAATGATCTTCTGCAAAAAAAGTAATTTCTCAAATTTTTTATACCTGCCTTAGTTTTAAAAATATCGACTTTATTTCATAACATCCACTTTTTTCAACTTTTAAGCACCTAAACCATCCTGTACAATAGTATAGTGACTTGTCGCCGAAAAATAGCTTGATACTTCGGTTTTTGAGTAAAAGCAAATCCTTTTCATAAGTGAAAGAAGATGTCAGAATTAGTAGATTTGTGAACAGACCCATCTCAAAAAGTTATGCCGACCCCCCCTCCACCCCCCTCAAATTTGATAAGTGGATTGTTTTAGTTTTTATTATTTTTCTCAAAAACGGTAAAAGATAGAAACGTCATTTTGGTGCCATTCGATAGAGCACAAAATTCTGCATAATGACTATGACCTTATTTTTGTTTATGTTTTCAAGGTAAGGCCCCACAAGAACAAAAATGTGGTGGTGGGTAATCACAAAGACACGTGTTGATCAATATCATTGAAACCGCTTGAAAAACCAAAAAAAAATAGAAGTAAATTTTTTAACAATTTTAAAAACTCAAAACGTCTTCACAGAAAAGCTAGTGTAACCTCTCACCTTGAATTAAATGCAATATTCTGCACACAAGCACAGCCTAATGCATTTTAAATTTTTCAAAAAGCATTTGCATTTTGGGCCACAAGTTTTGCGTTTACATTTTGATAAAATGTCGGATGATATTTTTTCCATTTTTCGTAGTGTTTCATAGTGGCGTCCATTTATTGTTTTCAAGAGTCCATTCCCATTTAGATGGGTATGGAAGTTCTACCATAGTTGGCACAAATTACCCCGCCTGCTTGAAAAATACATCGCTTGATATGCTGTTTCAACGCATTTATTGTTAGGGGTAAATTCTTAACGGTTCGGTTCTTTTGAGCAAAAAGGTGCATTTGACAAACGTCAATATCGTTGGTTTCAGATTCTTCGTACCTATGGTTCCTACATTATGATAACGAATTTTTAAATAATATTGAGTTATTCTGATGTAAGTTCTATTGGATGCAGCACTAAACCAATGAGCGTAGGTGTAACCTCCGCAAAGGTTTTTCATTAATTTTATTAGCAACTTTCATCAAGAAATATAATTTAGAATCCTACCAGTGCCAAACTCAATCCATACGTAGTTAGGGACCTAAGGTATATTTCTTGTATGGAAGATGGAAGTTGCTAATAAAAATAAAATTTATGAAAAAAGTCTGGCTCTATCTTTTTTTCACTCATTGACCGGTTGTGACACCATCTCTTCTTTTTTTGGAAAAGGAAAAAAGAAGTTCTGAGAAGCTTGAAAAACTTTTGCGGAGATACATCTACGTTCATTGACTTAGTGCTGCATCCAAAAGAACTTACATCGGAACAACTTAATATTATTTCAAAATTCGTTACCATAGTGTACGATAAACACTCTGAAACCATATCTGAAACCAACGATATTGACGTTTGTCGAATGCAACTTTTTGCTCAAAAAAACCGAACTGTTGAGAATTTACCCCCAAAAATAGATCACTGAAAATATAGTATGGAATTTCACACATCTGTCACACAAAAATTTAAGGATATTCCCACAAAATATTCTGTAAAACAGCATATCAAGCGATGTATTGCTAGCTTTCCTGTGAAGACGTTTTGAGTTGTTAAAATTGTTAAAAAATTTACTTATATTGTATTTTTTCCCAAGATAGATTTAGACACTGTCAACTTTGAAATATAAACAATGCCACTTATTGGTCGTAACATTCGCACGATATGCATTGCAAAACTGTATCTTCATCTTGGGAAAAAATACACTTTAGGTATTTACTTTTATCATCTTCTAATACGCTCCTGATTTTTTCAAAATGCTGTTTAGCTGCATCCTGCATGTAAATACAATAGAATAAAAAGATTAGTTTAAAAGGATATAACTAGTAGTTATTTATGTATCAAGGGAATTATGAGGGTGTTAATACCCCAGGGCAAAGTTTGTGTCCCGAGAGCCTTTAGCCCGAGGGACACCAATTACCCGTGGGTATTAACACCTGATAATTCCCGTGGTAGATAGATAATTTTATTTCCTACTGAATTTACTGTATTTTGTCCATTTTTATAGAGGAATAAACCAAAATTTCTTTTTTTTGTCAAAGTTTTACCTATTCAAGGTAAAAGCGGGAGTTATGGAAATTCTTAACTCCCTTGGGAGTTATGATATGCTTAACTCCCGCGCGGGATTTAAGACCCTGTTTATAATTATCGTAACCAAGGTATTATATGGTTATAATAGTTCAGTAGGAAATAAAAATATTTATTTTTAATCATTCGTCTTACTCCACTACTTTTTTGTACGCCACTGGTGGCTTTATTTTGAAAGATACGAAAAAAAATTATATATCAATCGATGCAGAAAACTTTATTCTTAATTTTTTGTATCTTCTATTTCTTTTTTGTTTTCAAGCGGTTTTAATGATATTGATCAACACGTGTCTCTGTGATTACCCCCACCAAATTTTTGTTCACGTGGGGCCTTAGCTTGAAAACATAAACAAAAATAAGGTCATAGTCATCATGCAGAATTTTGTGCTCTATCGAATGGCACCAAAATGACGTTTCTATCTTTTACCGTTTTTGAGAAAAATAATAAACACTAAAACAATCCACTTTTCAAATTTGAGGGGCGTGGAGGGGGGGTCGGCATGACTTTTTGAGATGGGTCTGTTCAAAAATCTACTAATTCTCACATGTTCTTTCACTTGTGAAAAGGATTTGCTTTTACTCAAAAACCGAAGTATGAAACCCTCAAGTCACTAGGCTACAATAAATTTTGCATCTTATGCTGCTGTTTGATATACCCCACGATATCCTGGTTTATTTTCAATGGAAAAAAAAATACTTAAATAATGTGGTGTCCAGTAGCGTACTAATAATCGCCCATTTTCGGAGTAATTTATTAATGGCTCACCGATTTTTATATTCAAAGGTGCATAATTTTAAAATAATCATCTGAAGTTTCATTTGTTTAGTTCACTTTATTCATTGACATATTATTGAGAAACCAATTTCTCAAAATTTTGATATTTGCCTTTGGTTTTAAAATATCGTTTATTTAACATAACCATATTAATGTTTTCGATTTTTCCGTTCTAAACCATCCTGAATCGTTCTTACCGATGAATTTTTTAGCAATTGTTATACCTTTCAGCCAGCATATTCACTGTGATTAAAAATATCGAATACTTACCTCTATGATATGCTGTACAGTGGCGTGCAAACAGAAATTATTATTTTTCATTAGGTCAATTTTATTAGCAATTGTTATATCTTTCGATTAGCGTATTTTTATGATTAAAAATTTCGAGTTCCTCAATGATATGCTATACAGTGGCGTGCTAATAATTATTAATACCACTGATAAAATTTAAATATTCGGAACCGATTTCGTTGTGGTGAGAGGAAACCCGAATTTTTATTACCTGCTAATTTTCTTTGTAGCTTCATGTTTAAAGGTATTTCAACTAAAAATTCTTCCAGTAATGGTAGCAGTATCAAAAAATAAAGTTAAGGATGGTAAAGTACATCATCTGCCAAAAAAAAATTATATGAACAACGTTAATGCTTCTTTAAGTCGATTTAAAACAAAACACAAAAAGTGTTCCTATAGGTTTTTTACGTTATATTTAGGATGATGTCGTAGAACAAGGACTGACAATGTTGTCAATGCCTATTTTTTTCCTTATAATTTACCAGAATGTAATCATAAATTATCAAGACCACTGACATCTAGAAATAACAAAATGAATCGACACGTGTTATTTATTTGAAAATTTTTATTCAAATCATACAACGTTGCGCGCTGTTGTCAACCGGTAACATCTGAAATTCCCCTACTTTAAATGCGTTAAGAAGTACTTTTAGTTTAGTTAGGTAGATACCTAGGTAAAAAGTATCAAAATAAGTGCGGTAAAAAACTAATCAAACTAAGATTCAATAACAACAACAAAGTGACCTAAAAGTTAAGTAATAAACAACGTAAACTGAAAAAATTATTAAAAAACGGCCGATAATCAAAGTTATTTAATTATTAGCTAGTAAGCCCTCTCCTCACATTCACAACCTCTTGGCATCGTTGTGGCATATTGTCAACCACGAGATAATGAATGCCTGAGGGATATTTTGCCTCTTCTTCTATGGCAAGGGCGAACTCATCCAGCGTTTGGGAGCAATTTCGCGCGATCGTACCAGTAACTTAAGCTGAGACCACACAAGATCAGGAGATTTTGGAGGCAGGTATAACTGTTGCATGTTATGCTCCCCCAATAGCTCCTAAACAATTCTTGCTTTGTGTGGTCTCGCATTATGGTCAACCATATAGAAATCCTCCCCAATATTTTTTGCATATGGAATAACAATATCATTTATTATGTGATTCCGATAAATTACGGCGTTAACAGTGTCCCGTGAAATGTATAAGTCGGATCTATCGTTATACATCACTCCGGCCCAAACATTAAACCCTCCTACCCCAAAGGTTTCCTGAGAAGCCATGTTGTCTTCTTCAAAGAAAATTAGCAGGTAATAAAAATTCGGGTTTCCTCTCACCACAACGAAATCGGTTCCGAATATTTAAATTTTATCAGTGGTATAAATAATTATTAGCACGCCGCTATACAGCATATCATTGAAGTATTCGAAATTTTTAATCATAAAAATAAGCTAATCGAAAGATATAACAATTGCTAATAAAATTGATTTAATGAAAAATAATAATTTCTGTTTGCACGCCACTGTTCAGCATATCATTGAGGTATTCGATATTTTTAATCACAGTAAATACGCTGGCTGAAAGGTATGATAATTGCTAAAAAAATTCACCGGTATGAACGATTCGGGATGGTTTAGAACGAAAAAGTTGAGAAAATTAATATGGTTATGTTAAATAAACAATATTTTAAAAACAAAGGCAAATATCAAAATTTTGAGAAATTGGTTTCTTAATAATATGTAAATGATTAAAGTGAACTAAACAAATGAAACTTCAAATGATTATTTTTTAAATTATGCACCTTTGAATGTAAAATTCGGTGAGCCATTAATAAATAATTCCAAAAATGGGCGATTATTAGTACGCTACTGGACACCACATTATTTAAGTATTTTTTTTCCATTGAAAATAAACCAGGATATCGTGGGGTATATCAAACAGCAGCATAAGATGCAAGATTTATTGTACAGGATAGTTCAGGTGCTTAAAAGTTGAAAAAAGTGGAGGTTATGAAAAAAAAATCAATATTTTTAAAACTAAGGCAGGTATGAAAAATTTGAGATATTACTTTTTTTGCAGAAGATCATTGATTAAAACGCCGCATAGAAATAAAATTTAAAAAATTATCTGAGAAAGTTACACACATTCAAAATTGGGGTGAAAATCATGAACTTTTTTAACACCCTGTATAAAAAAAATTAGACATTTGAAAAAATTTCTAAATAGCAGTTTTTTTCACAAAAAGTCAATCTGTCAGCCCGTGAAAACCGCAGGTCGATATCTATTCTGGTTCCAAAAATATCGATCTTGAAAGTTAGGCGATATTTACCTTGTTCGAAAGCAATTGTCCAGCAGTTTAGTTACTTGCTAAAAACACAGGCCCTCCAAGTAAGTATGGGAGAAAAGAAGATTTCCAAACCTAGGTACACCATGATAGATTTAAAAAAAAAATCCTGACAATAATTTTTCTATGGCGATTTTTATTTTTTGTTTTTAGGGCTTTGAATGAGGTGTCTCAACTCTCAAGACTATCTTTCGCCTGGTGATAAATAAAAGCTCTCTTCATAATTTTCTATAAAATATTATTGTCGCGGACTCGCTTTCATTCATCTTTATAGAACAATTTTCTTATTTAAAATTACTCACTGACTGGCAAGCTACGTGGTTAATACACAAAAACATTCAATCGAGAAATCTATAGAATCACGTTAATCCTTGTTCATTTGAATCACACAATGGGATTCCTTCATAATCGAGCTAGCTTCGGCAACAGGTTCGCCGGCCTCTCCGCCAATGCAATTTCGTAGCGCTGCCTTCCTCTCAAACCAAATCTTCCGGATCTTACCATATATTCTCAGATGTTTTTCTATCCTTCCAGCTCTACCCTTAAACCTGCGTGGTTCTTCTTCCCATAAACTGATGCCATACTGCCAGCCGCCTTGTCTGCGTTTGCGCGGACGGTCGTAGCTCTCGTACGATACGTCATAATAGGAGTTTGTAAAACGTCTGTTTGAAGAATGTTGTTGACCTTCAGGATCAGCAGTGGTATCCCACCAATTTTCTTGTTAACACTCCCCCCTGACGATTTCCGTTAGGTTCAAAACTTGTTCTAATTGATCACTTTCAAGCTGTTCGGATCTCATTTCTCAATACTTTCCAAATTGAAAGCTTCTACCAGATCTCTTTCACGCTGACCAATCTTGAACTTGGCATGGTCGCCTGGATAAGGTATGTGCGTTGTTATGCAGTTTACTAGATCGATGTTTGTTTTGGAAATCGTACTGTTGCGACTCCTTAATCGAAGGCTGACGGTCACCTGAAGGAGAGCTAGATTTCAGCTTTACAGTCACGCGAGGAGTTTTTTTTCGCAGCGGTAACATTCGGTGTCACCTTTCGAGTTCCCTATTTTGATTCTGGTAACAGCCAGCCTTTCGTATTTCTTCTAGAAGTTCTTTATTGAGCGTTTGATAATTTCTCCTCCTATTGCATCTTTTTTTTCTCGTATTGACACATCACTATGATCTTTGGTTCGTATATCTTATAGACCGCTAGACCTAGGGCTTTAATAATTAGAGCTTCCCCGCTACTTGATGTCAGTCAAATTATGAAATTTCCGGCTGCTAGTTGTTCTCGCATTTCTGCTACGGGTAGGCCAAATTAACCAGACGGAAGATATCGGTTTCATGTTCTAGTGAACTTTCCACAGCTTTCTTTTGTCTTATTATTCTTAGCTGTATCTGGTAAAGCTGGGTATGGTGGGGGCTTAACTTTGATACAGGTTGCAGGCAAAGCTGAGACATTTCCTGATCTTATAAGTAACTTTGCAACTCTTTAATTTTCTTTTGAAGGCCATCCATTTTCTTGGCGAAAGGCTCCAACTTCCTGGCCAACATAGTTCCAACTGTTTGATGAATACTTCCAACTTTCTGTCGAACGACCCCAACTTCTTCTCGTACTTCTTCTATTGCATTTTCGAATTTTTTTATCTTGCCCCTACAGGATTACGGTTTGCACAATAAAATTCTTGAATACTCGCGCTGTGTCATAAAGGTAAACAATTTCGCGGGCCCCTCCGCAGGGATTCCATTTCGTAAAAGTATTTTAAATAATGTTATTCGCACAGATGAAGCCAAATTTACAAAAAATAGATTTTTTCACAGATATAATTGCCATTGTTGGAATGCTCAAAAAAAAAAAAGATTTTGCAGAAGCGAAATAGTATAGGTATGTTATAGATGTGTTAGTTTTATTTTAATTCTGTCATCTGCATTTAGCGGTATTGTTTTTCCTTGTGTAGGTTCGTCCAAGTTTGTTTTAAAATAAAATTATGCATTGATTTAATGTGATATACATTTTCTCATATCAACCGATGCAGTTCGTCGTGAGACACCCTACACCCTGTGTGCTTAAGCCTCTTGGAATAATTATAGGCGACAGGTTCTGTGATATAGGCAATGAACTATAACCAAAAACTGGAATGCTAACACATAAGGACGAACTTGAAGCCTAGTGCGGCTGCTGCGGAGGGGATACCTGTTTTTGTCGCACTCATTATGTTAAATGGCGAAAATTGCTTCCAACACGTATTCCAATTGATGAAACCTGTGAAGGGAAATATGACAAAACTTTCGAAAACTTCATATGTCAGCGAGCAACAGAAAAAAACAACATTCCCCCTTGTGGAATCTGTCTTTCATGGCTTCATTTTTTTGGCAGACATCGCAATGTGTATGCAATCCAGTTTTTAGCTATAGTTCATTGGATATAGGTGATTTAAGCTAAAGTTTTGCAATTGTACATCCAGTGAAGCCCCTAAAAAGTGTTAAAACTCAATAAAAATCCATTTAATGTCATGTTTTACGCCCACATCCGGTGCTAAAATGCATTTCGTCTTCCTTAAATGGGTATTAATCACTCGTAAATTTGATTTTAATGCATAAGCAACAACAAATTGAAGTGGAAAAAATCGGATTTTTTCGCAAATGCGCGGTTTTTAATTATGTTTTTATTTTTTTGTATGAAACGGGCGAGTTTTGACGACGATGTTGGGTCCTATATTCGATTAGGGTTCAATAGTGACGTGACTGGAGCGATATTTTATGTTAGTACCAGTAATTTGACAAGTGGGTGAAATGAAAATGATTTGCACAATCAGTCATGAGCATATCATACTTTAGTCAGATCCCAGAAGCCGCTATCTTGTTTTAACGTAACTCGCTCCAAATCGCAAGCATTCCAAAAATTACAATTTATACATTTTTTGGGTTGTGTGTGACACATGCGTGGTGAGCTGATCAAATTATAATTAAATAATTGTTATACATGTATTTACAATATTCACATAATTACCCTTTTTTGATATACCAGAGGCCTCAACGGTCCCAACTAGCTTGTGCCAGGAGTCTTCTTCATCTTTGTTGGTTTTTAAAATCATTTTTTATTGCTGCGTTTTTATGGACCGGACGCAAGAAGTTGAAATTTGGTTAACTCTTGCACCAGGCTTTTCCTACGGAGATACGGTTGCGTTAAAGTATAAAATGGGTATTTTCAACTTCCTATGTGCTTAAAATTGTGTCAGTCTTTCAAAGAAAAGTTTCGTGTTTATTTAAAATTTGGTTATTTGTAAAACTGTTTTCTAGAGGATAAAAAATATAATCAATTATTACTATCACCTACTTTATTCATTTAGCCCAAAGTTCAAATTTTCTTTGGAGTCTTATAAACATTTCAAACCCAATGGTAAATTACTGTTTCCAAAACAAAGTTAGTTTACATTTTCTAAACTTGTGTATTAATTTTGTGCCTGTTCGTTTCAGTGTGACCAAAACGCTGCAGGCGGCCGCTGCGCACTTGGGGGAGCTACTGCGGGCAAAGGGGGCGCAGATGGGGCAATTTCCTGGGGAACCTCTTTCGAGAAGCTCCTGGATGATCCTGTCGGACTTTATGCATTTGCCGTAAGTAATGAGCTCCACCGATGCTTCAAAATATACTTTTTTTCTAAATTCTATTTCAGAAAAAATGTTTATTTTTTGTGTGTTGCTCCCGATTGAAAATTCAATAAATTTTATATTTCTACTTTCTACACAGGAGTTCCTAAAAAAAGAAGTCAGCGCCGAAAATATTTACTTCTGGACTGCCTGCGAGCGTTACAAAAGCCTGAAATCTCCTTCGGAAAGGACCACCGAGGCTCAAAGAATATTCAAAGAGCACTTGGAGAGTGGGGCCTCTGATGCAGTCAACGTTGACGCCCAAGGACGCCAGGCGGCGGAACAAGGTCTACTAGAAGGCGCCGGTGCTGACATCTTCGACATGGCACAGAAACAAATTTTTAATTTGATGAAGTTTGACAGTTATCCGAGGTTTCTGAAGTCGCCACTGTATAAACGGTGTTTGGGTGGCGAGTTCACTTCATCGTTTGATGCCAGGTAAGAACTTATTATTCATTTGAAGTACTGCTTAGCTCTACTTTTACATTGATATTCAAAGTATTTCAAAAAACCCTTGGTAGAAATAGAGAGGCGAGTCATTCATTCATCTTCACAATCCTTCAGACCCACTCCTTTTTTTGTAAATGAATCAAATCGCCTTTGTTATTGCTTGAGCCATCAAAGGCTAAACCAATGGGGACTTGTAAATGCTCCTTCAAGTGGACAGACCATTACGACAAAACATTATCTTTTATGTCCTCAAAAAAACTTCAATTTACACTTAGTATTTTACACTACTGTAAAGTTTGTCTTCTCCCACAACTCCTACTGATTCATTTCATTCATTCATTCAATCCAAAACAAACACCTCCAGTCTTGTCTCCTTAGGTCAATAAGGTAGTAACTAGTAACTACTTGTTGGCTGACACCAAAACGCAAAGTTCAAAAGTTTATAAACCCATCGTGAACCCCAGCAAACTCAATTGTACATCAACCTCAAGCTTATGACAACAGATTTAAGTATTATATTTTGTGACGTGGAAGGAAGCTTGGCTCTTAGAACAACCTAAAAGTAATTTGGTTTCATTAGGAATTATGTTATTATTGTTGTTTCTCATTTTTTCATTCACAAGGTGTGCATTTTCTTACTTTGTTCTATAAAACCATACATATTTTTGTTTCCAGACTTTCTCTACACAACACGTCCGCACAATTCACACCATCAAAACTCAAAAAATCGTTCAGCAACGCAGAAGACCGGCGTAGAAAGTCGCTGTTGCCTTGGCATAGAAAAACCACATCTGGAGTGTCTTCAGATAATCAGAGGCCAAAGTCGCGCGATCGCAGCGATATTCCCGTCGGTAAAAGTTGGGACGGCGTTTTGACAGTTCCCTCATCGGAAGACAGGCGGGATATTCATTCCAGTCATTCGTCCCTGACGTCGTTGGATCTTGCTGCTAGTCAGGTAATTGTCCAGATTTGAAAAAAAAATATATATTTTTATTTCATTTTTGAAGGATATACGTCAAGAAGAATCCAGATCGGCCCTATGCAGAGTATTACTAAGTAACGGCAGCACCACAGTAGTTCAAATCAAAGACGGCGAGACAATTAACCAGCTTATAAACCGGCTGTTAGAAAAGAGAGGGTTGACTTATACATCATACGAAGTTTTTACCAACAAACATCCAAAGGTAGGGTTAATCTTCTCATACATCACAAAACTTTTTTCTTTTTGAACCTGAAAAAGAAAGGTCTTCATAATTTGAATGTGGAAACTAGCCCAGAATCAAATTTCAGATTGTAAAACATTTCACAGTACAAAGTTATACTTAGTGGAATTAATCATGGGCATATTTACTTTGATAGTACCTAGTGCAAGAGTCGTTTGTACTTCACTCCTAGTACTCATTGGTTATCATTTTTTTGGCATGTAGTTTCTTTTCTATTATCTAACCCAAACTAAATACGTATTCTACAGTTCATCTTCATGCTCTAAAACCGGCCTGTTCTTCTGCCTCACTATATTTGTATTTGTTCTCTATTTTCGCTTTTATAACTTTTCCATACACTCTGTTCAACGTACTTGTCACTCCAATTTCTCGGTGGTTTTCACATTTGTTTCTGTCCCCTTTCTCATAATATATAGATGTTGAATAGCTTATTTTCCACTCTTCTGGAACTTCATGCTTATTTATACATGTTTGGAATAGTTTTGTTAAATGTTTATGAAGTTCATTTGTCCCATACTTTATCAATTCTCAATATATTCTGAGCTTGGCGTTCTCCCATTTTTCAAGAAGCTGTAGTATTTTTCACCTCCTTTTCTAACTCTTATTAGTGATCATAGATTTAATCTAATCTAAATAATGGTGATCTTGCAGTTTTTATGTTTTGTGTCTTTTCTTTTTTTCTTTAAGCTCTGCCCGTTGTCAGTAATTCTTCAAAATACACTTCCCATTACTGGAGTGTTATTCTGGTGATAATATCCCTGGTTTTCGAGTTTTCGTTGTCCTCGCGTTTTTCAGTAATCAGTGTCTTTCCCCTTCTAATTTTGGTGAAGCTCACATAAGTTGTGCAAATAATTTCCTTATATCATCCTACTATTCATATTGTTCCAAATTCATGACAAATGTACAGTTGTAGCCATTGGAATAGGCATAAATTTTTGAACGCGGTTTGTATAGAGTCAAAACTGACACAATTTTGGCATTAACGGCTTAAAGTCAAATATTGATACAATACAAGGTGCGTTCAAAAATTTGTGCCAATTTCGATGGCCGGAACTGTACCTAAATCCCATAACACTGGTTTTGTTTAGGTCAGACAGACCAGATTAGCACTACACCAGACATCAATCATACTCAGATCAGACAAAATAATATTTTTCAGTATACATACATACATTTCAGTAGCACAAGATATTAGTGTCATTCTAGATGTTGTGAACTGACCTTGAATGTCCGAATAAAATTATATTATTGATGTAGAGAAAAAAGATAGGTCCCAGAACGGAGCCCTGAGGCACACTGTTATTATGTCAGATGTCAAACCAACTGGACTCTTAGAGAAATGACTGAAACCCCCATTTTTCTTCTCACTGATCATTGTATTAAAAAATAATACCATTTCAATAGGGGCAGTTTTCATAATTGCAGTGTCTTATATTACTAACAAAGATTTTTTCTAAAAAACTTTTTTAAAAAATCTTATTTTTTAGGCTTTGGACATAAACGATTCGTCAACCAAAGTTTCTGGATGCGAGGTGACGATCGAACAACGTGTGGTTTTCAAATTGGACTTGCCCAATAAGAAAATTATCTCTGTCAAAAGCAAATACACCAAGTTAATTATTGACGTTCTACGGCCTATTTTACACAAATACAAATTCACTTTGGACCAAGTGAACATAACCAGAGCTGGTTATTTTGTTGACATTGCTTTACCTGTTACAACAATTGATAACGCCCGGTTGCAAATTCATCTCAAAGGTTTGTTCCCGGCTTTATGGTTGAGAATCTGTTAGTAATCAATTGGTTATTTCTAGATGATGTAACAAATCCTCAGACTAAAGTTAAAATTAGTAAATTGGAGGAGATTACTAATGACTTGTTTGAGGGGATTCTGCAAGATAAATCTGATGGACAAGTTTTTAAGCCCACAAGTTCTGTAAAGGTAAACATTCTGCAAAACAAAAACAAATAACTTACTTCAAGCATTATTTCAGAGTGAAGATTGGGGCTCAGAACACTCCTCGGGTTTACTCACTAAATTTCTTCGGCGCGACTCCGCCTTGCACCAAGAAAAAAAGAAAAAGGTCCCCGTGAAGTTGGCCACAAATGACGCCAAAGAAGAAGGTGGAGGAGACAAAAAGCCTTTGATCGCTAAATTAAAGGCTGGCGCCAATAAATTGCATGTTGGTACTTGCAGCGAAAGTGATGGTAGGTTTTACCTAATTTTATTATATACTCCTTGACAAAATTATCGCACCACCACTGCACATAAGCACCATAAGCAGTGGTGCGATAATTTTGTCCAGGAGTATATTATTGAACAAGTTTTATATGTTTTACACGAGGCTTATTGCAATCTGCGCCACACAAGGTGTGTGTGGTTATGGAAATGTGACTTTAAAATCTGAATAAAAGGATTTAACGAAATAAAGTGGGAAAGCACTTCATTGCTTATGTATCTAAAACGTGCCCATTAATAAATTTTTTTGTATTCTCAACATAAATTTCAGCATTGTATCTAAGTTAATTCTACTTATTTCTTGGACAGTTTTTCGTCTATTGTTACTTTTTCACCAATTCTGCTTAATCTTGACTGGACGTAGAAAATGAAAAATGCCCTAAGAATTATTTTTTTATTATTATCCCTGCTATCACACATGACTCCATGAGCTTGAACAATGTTTTGATTTGTGTTTTCCTGATTCTTAGTTATTGGAAAGTGCCACCATGTTTATACTAGAATGATAAAATTTGTCATATAAGTGTTTTCATCAATTATCTGCTTTGGCTCACTCCAAAACGAGCCTAAAATCAAGAGCTTTTTTAAAACTATTTAAATTTTTTTCAGAACTGGTAGAAGGTCTAACTAGAGCCCAAAGACGCCTAGAAGACCAACGTGGCACAGAAATCAACTTTGAGCTGCCAGATTTTTTGAAAGACGATCAGGAAAAGCGCCCCTTAGGGCAGAATGTGAATGTGCTAACAAAAAAGAAAGGTTTAGAGCCACCCCCTTTGCCACCAAAACCGAAAATCGTCCCAATCAAGCCTCTGAATTGGGGCGCTGGCTTTTATAAAGCCGACAAAGAGACTTTTTTGGAACAACCCTCGAGCAGCTTTGTGTAGTTTTTTTACTTTTAATTTTTACTTTTGTTAATTATTTTTTGAGTTTAAAATATTTATTATTATTATTTTTTATGGACTAGTAACTAACGACAAAAAAAGAGTATTATTAAATTTTTATTAAAAGTTTGTTTTTTATATCAGATTATTTTTGGTTTTATTTAGGGCGGGTATTATAAAACTGCTTTGACAGTTAACTTGAAGTTAACTTTTTGAATTACATGTAAGTTAACTCTCAAAGTAGTTTTATAATACCCACAGATTGACATCCAATTACAGAGTACGGTAGATGACTTACCAAAGTGAAAGTGAGATAAAAATAGAAAGTTACTTAACACCAAAATCTATATTATTTTGTTGTTTAAAATTAGTTTTCCTCAAGATGTAACCAATCGAAACAATTTACTGCTATTTAATATGCAAACAGAGATCTTGCAAACAGTTAAAACACCTTTCAGAATCAAAACAATCTCAAACGATGAATAATCACAAAAACAACAAAGGTGAAAAAATTCCATCAAATTGGAAAAATTCAATAATCTCTACACAAACACAAGTAGCAGAAATCATTCAAGACGGAATAAAATTAAAATTGGCAGAGGGTGTCATTATATAGGGTATATCTATTTATTTATTACCTAATTGGTTAACTTCATAACAATGTAAATATTAGTCCACATTAGTGTGTTCCATATACTATTGCACACGGTAATCACAAAACTGCAAATTATTTATTTAGTCTGATTTTCAATTTAAAATCTGTTTTATTATTTGTTTTGTGTATCTCGACCAACAACACTAAATTATTATTTTATTTCTTGGCCTCTGGTCGGTGTCATTGGGAGAGGTGGTGGAGTGTCAAACGGAATGTTGTTTTTTTCTTTATTCTAGTTTTTTGATACATAACATAATCTGTAGGTACTCAAATCTTTTTTGATCTTCTGGAAGTTCGCAGTGTTCACTTCTCTATTAAAAGACCATTTCCTTGAATGTCCGTTTTTTCAAATAGATTCACTGCTCAGGATCTTGTAATACCGACAATCATTTCTGTGTGTGTTTAATCTCTTTGAGAGACCTGTAGGGTTTCGTTTGAGCAATATATCTAGCGGACACGAGTTACATGTTACTTCATAAATGATGCTTGATATAAATTGTATTTTCGTTTTGTGTTTTAATTTTGTGTGTAAATTCCTGACAGTTTTTTTTTTTATATTAAGGGACTATTATTAGTTGGTATCAGTTGGTATGTAGAGTACTGGTGTTCTAAATATTGTATACGATGGAGTTAGAATGTTATCATGAGCAGTGGGGTTGGATAACTATTTATGGGATTGTGTATTTTGTTGATTAAGCCTGAAATTACAGAAGCTCTGCAACACCAAGATACAAATGCAAGACCTGCAAGTTTGACTTTTCGTATTACAGAAGTAGAAAGCATTTGCAAGTCGCCTGCAAATTTGCGCATGGTGAAACGGCAAGTCTTTGCAATCACTTTGAAATTTAAAACTGGTAAATCAGTACCGCCCAAACACTTTTTTCCGCTAAATATGACGAAATTGCAGATTTTTTCTGTAATTTGCTCGTTTCTGCAAATAGAGTACATATGCAAGTCCGCCATATTTGCAGAACTGCAAATTTGCAGATGCAAATATATTGTAATTTGGCCTTAAGTGTCTAGGGTATCCATTTTTCAAAAGCAACCGATCAAAACACAGAACCAAATCCCTATGATAGTGTAACAGTCTGCTCGAGTACCTACTTATTAACAGTTTGTTTGATTGACACACTGATTGTCATAGTTTGGTTTCAAAATCCTAATTTTCATGTTTTGGGATTGGCATGATAAATACATGATTATGATTCGAAAAAATCACTTTTTTTTTGTGAGCTCAGGATCATCCGAATAATGGTTAGTCTCCTAACAGGGCATTGACGATTGACGTGTACGTTGAGTCTCCTCAGACTGTACCCTCAGTAATCCTCTGTATGGGTTCTGCCAGAATGTGATTCTTCATTGTGGCTCAATCATGAGGCAGCACCCCAAAATAATGTTATAACCATAACAAAACCAGGGGCAAGAAGCTACATACAGGGGAACCTATCGAGGTTATAGTCTGGTTAATAGAACTCTAAACTAACAACTCTGCGTTTCAAAGGCGATCTTCTGTGACAAATTTTTCTATTATGGCAGAACTGTAGGAGGTACAAGTACCATATTTTTGACATGTTTCATTAGCGTAGGATTAGGCCAATCGCTTCTTATGTGGATGGCACCGCCTTCATGTGGTTTCTTTTCACGTCAAAACATTGAAACTAAATTAAAAATTCCTAGCTCCTCAATTGTTAGTTGCATATCTGATTTCCATAGCTCAGAAAAATAAAGTAGTTAGTTACCCCATAGTCTTCATGGCCCTGCATCATTTCATTTAATTTGTTTATTGAATTGCCAATTGACTGTGCATTTGTGGTTTGCACTAATTTTGATTTGCACCATTCTGATATTTCTCACCTGTATTTTTTCTCATAAAAAAACAATTGTTCTCATAACGTAAAACCTTTTTTTTGATGAACAGACCAGTTCACGCAACAGCTTTGAACTTCGACTTTCTTCTGACATACGTTCCATTTTAAGACCATTTGATGTACCTAATAATAGTCATCAAATACGTTATTGTTTTCAACTTTTTATGATGGATGTCCATTTGAAATCCAATAGCTTTGTGCCAACACAGGAAACCGTACAATGTACCGTCACGATTCTGCGCAAAACCCAAAATTTGTGCGTAGAATCAAAAATTCGTATACTGAGTGGTTTCGAAACAGTTTATGGACAGATTTTTGACGTGTTGGAACAGACCTTATATATTCATATTTGGAATTAGCAAGCGCTAAGCTCCAAATGGCGGCGCGACGTCTATTGTCGCCACTGTTTCTAAAGGTTTATTTAGTCACTATACTCTCAATATGGTAGAGCGCCGTCTATGCGACTCCTACTTAGTTTCTCCTCAAGTTGTTTCACTCACCTTCAAATCTGAGTATGTTATCTATTCGAATCATTTTTCCCATTTGTTTGATATCTTGAATCCGCAAATTTCTTTAATTCGACCGAACAAGACCTATTAATATGTCTTTAGCCCGGTTCAGACCCAGCCAGTAATTTGGGCGAGTAGGTAATTTATTATGTGACCCATTCAATATCAAATATTTTAGGATGTGTATAGGGGTCCGAGCGCTCGATTCCATATTTTGAAAGATACAGGTCAGACTGATCGGAGCCTTAGAGTGTAGGATCGTTGATTGGTAGGATATAGGTCCGAGCACATATATTGAATATTGAACCTACATACTTGTTTAAGGTTCCTACAAATAATTAACTCATAAGTTAGGTGTAAATACATTTTTTGAGTATTGAGAGAAAACACCTTAAATAGGTATCTTTTTATAACTGTAGTTGGTACAATATTCTCATCAATGAACACAAAATAAGATAATCTAAAAACTATAAAATGGTAAATAATTGACATACAATATTTAATGAGTTTCTCCATAATTTCCCAAAATTTTGTTGTTTCTATTTTTCTACTGCATCTTCCAGTTCTGCAAAGGAGTTGTATTTTGCCCCGAGTTTTGAATCAATTTTGAAGTATTAGAATAATTAGATATATACCAATATCTTAAACATATTTTAACTCTTTCTCATATCTCGTATGAGCATGTTTAATGTGAGACTATTTTTCATATATTTTCATCAAAAAAAAAAGATGACTACCAAACACATGATAGAAGGGAACACACATTTACCGATTCCACAGACCACAAGTTATCGCTCCATATTTCTAGGTTGCATGATTGCATGATTGATTCATGCAAAACTAAAACGACGTGTTTTTTTTTTTTAATTTTTATACCTAATAATAGAATAAAAAGTTTGTTTTCAAATGTATTTATTCATGATTTGGGTATTTTGCAGTACATGAAATATTCTCATATATTAATATCCAACAATGATATCCAATCTCATATAATCTTATACAGGCTCTCCTATTTTCAATACTCAAGTATCTGACAACCCTGCTCTCGGACCGCTTATGCTTGCCTATTGTTAGAGAGCCGAGCGGTCGGATCCGTATCCTCCAGGATAGGGAGCCGAGCGCTCGGACCCCTATACACAGCCTATATTTCAGCACAGTTCCCTAGCGCGACCATGTCGAGTTCAGTAAATAGAACCCTATTCTATTTTTTTTTGGGTCTAGTAGCATCCTCCACTACCAACAAACAGCAAGCGATCCTGGAATCTAAAAGTGTGTAGCTACACTCTTCACTGAAGTTTTTGATTATCAGAACGACATAGATTCAGATAGTTTTAATAACTTCTATTGTTCAATAGCCGAAAAGTTGAGGAAGGATATATGTTCTGATACTAATCCTATGGTTTATCTAGGGAATATATCTGTAATTGATTCATTTTGTCTTTACCATACTGACATAAATGAAATCAAAAACATATTCAAATCAATAAAAAATAAGTACTCAGCAGGTATTGATGGCATTTCATTGAGGATATTTATTAACCTTCCGGACTCTGTACTTGAGGAGCTTGCTACAATTATAAATATTTCTTTCGACAGGGGAATTTTTCCGGATAGCTTGTGCACAGCGTTGGTAATGCCTCTTTTTAAGGGTGGAAACTCTAACGATCCCTCTTGTTTTCGACCCATCTCAATGCTTCCTACACTTTCAAAAATTGTAGAGAAAATTGTTAAGGTTAGAATGTCTTCTTTTTTAGAAAGGCATAACCTGTTAAATAAAAACCAATTTGGTTTTCAGAGTGAGAAGAGCACTAGTGATGCAATCTTTAATTTTCTTGAGGAACTTTATCTGGGTCTGAATGGAAGAGAAATGGTAGCGGCAGTGTTCTGCGATTTTTCCAAAGCATTTGATTGGGTGGATCGCGGGATACTGTTGCAAAAGCTGTATCGTTATGGATTTAGGGGCAGTGCTTTGACTTGGCTTGGGTCCTACCTGGCAAATAGGCGACAGGTGGTTAGGGGGCGTCACGGTACATCGACTGTACGGACCATTGATTCTGGGGTTCCACAGGGTTCAGTGCTTGGCCCATTATTGTTTCTCATTTACATCAATGACCTAGCTTCCATCAATATAAATGGAGCCTTTACATTATTTGCTGATGATACCACGATACTGTGGCGTGGAACAAGCGATGATACTTTGGAAGAAACAATAAATAGAGACATACAAATTATAAAGAAATGGTGTGACACAAACAGCCTGACTTTTAACATAAGCAAAACCAATCTTATATCATTTAGGGGAAACGCTCCAAGTATCTCACTGAATGGTGGAGCTGTGGAAAGTACAGACTGTGCAAAGTTTTTGGGAGTTTTTATTGATTGCAAGTTAAAGTTTGATACGCATATTATAATGTTAAGGAAAAGGTTGGCCTCTGCTTGTTATGCTGTTAGAATTGTACATGGTGAACTTGGAGCCAAAACAGCAAGAGATGTATATTTCTCACTGATAGAGTCTCATTTGAGATATGGCATACAGTTTTGGGGCTTTGCCAGCCGGCATCTTATTCAGTCTGTTTTTGTCTTGCAGAAGCGGGCTGTAAGATATTGGAGTGGTGCTGGTCACAGAGATCACTGTAGACCGCTGTTTATTGGGGAGGGGATTCTAACATTGGCTTGTATTTTTATCCTTAGTACAGTAGAGTTGGTTCGTAAAAAATGCAGGGGATCTGATGTCGCCTCAGCAAGTGCTTACGCGACAAGATATAGCAGTGAAAATCTGAGTCTCTGCATTCCTAAAAGTACCCTTACTAAACATTCAATTATATATGAGGGTAGAAAAATGTACAATCGCTTGCCGCTGGAAATCAAGAATCTAGAAAGTGACAAAAAGTTTGGCCAATTAGTAAAGAGGATGTTATTGAAAAAAGCTTATTATTGCCTTGACGAGTTTTATGCGGATGATTTATGTTTGTGAAGTAATGTTTGTTTTTTTTTCTATTTTAAGCTTTTCAAATTGTATTTGTGTTTTAAGGAATTTTAGCTGTTTTTGATGTTTTTTTTTTTCTATTTGTTTTTCTATGACCACTGAGTTTATACTGTTTTATATGTTTTTATTTTCAGCTTTGTACATGAGGGTATTTAAACTCTTTATACAATAAAGCATTTTTTGATTTGATTTGATTTGATTTGTTTCTGGTTATTTCAATAACAAAAAATTTAGTTTATACAATTAATAGAAAGGTGGGCGGCAGATACAACTTCAAAAGTTTGTATCCACTGTCCGATTCATGATATTTTATAGAAAGAAAATAGAACAACTCTGTTGAATTGGTGCTATCAATTTGACTAAAACACTGGATTCCTGTAAACGGTTGTTCTTTCTCGAATTGATCAAATGAAACTACTAGTTTGCTTGACTCATGAAAATTTGACTAAATAACTTTACGTAACTATCACCTACCCCTGAAGTGAAAATGATATGTTGGATGGTTGTTTTTCTCAAAAGTCAAATTGCATTAAATGGGTCCAACCTGCAAATAAATAAAACTTCATGACTTTAACGTGAAGATCGTATCAATTTATTGAAAATAGCCTTTTAGGCAAATACAAATGCATACATAATATTATATATTATAGCATTAAAAACAAATGAAAAATTCTTACATACAGTGTCCACCATACCAATGAAAAGTTTTCTTCTATATAGCGAGAATCATGGCGAACACTATATTTCTAGTTAAAAAAAATAATATGACAAAAAAAAACAAATGAAAAATGCTGATATACAGTGTCCATCATACAAATGAAAAGTTTCCTTCTATATGGCGAGAATCATGGTGGACACTATATTTCTAGATTTAAAAAAATAATTTGAACAAAAAAAAAACAAATGCTTGAAAACACAAATCCTAAACTAGTAGTGGTAGCCACCTGTGTAGCCACCCCATTGGTTGTAGCCTCCATAACCACCTTGTGGAGGGTATTGCCAATTCTGATATTGGTACTGATCCCCTGAAAAAAGTTAATTTAAATTATTAAAATTTTCTAACAAAATTAGGTGGCAAGACACCACTAGCCCAAACATTATGTCACCCAATGAGAAAGCTTCTCATATATTTACTTCATTACTATAAAACCGGGGGCACTTTGTACCACTTTTCAATTTTTGCATTGAATAATTTTCAAAGTTTTATACATAATATGTCATAGTATAATTAGGCCAGTCAAATCTGTCTTCATTAAGAGAAGTGAATTTTTACTCTACAAGAAATAGTAGCCAAAAAGCATTGCCAAAGCCTCAAACGAGCTAGGTACTCTCTTTTATTCACTTATTGTGGAAATGCTTTATCAACATAAACATATTTTTCTATGATACTTTCTTTTTACTATCCTAATGCAGGATAATGCAAGATACATGCTTAGCTGGGCCCTCTATTTTACACCTGAGTATATCGCACCTCTAGAGAAACAAGGTCATAAGTGCAAATTTGTAAAATTCCCAGGAAACGCTTTTAAAGTTTCCAGAGCTTCTGCAATTCAAAACGATAACAATAAACTATACATTTTCAGGCGAATTTAATTTTTATGAAGATTCTGTAATACATATAGTTAACCTTCAGTTTTCTTCTTGAACTCATTCTACAATTGTGGCCTGTTCAAAAGTTTTTAGGGCACATCCTCTCCAATTATGACATTGTTGCCCTAGGGCTAAGCTATTTTTTCAATTAGGTGAATTATTTAATGACATAAAATGCATTTGCGTCTTTGTTGGACCATAAATATCGCAGGTTTAACAAGGAAAACCGACACAAAATACATTTTTGTCGTAGTTGCTTTGAAATAAATAACAAATTTATTTATCACATTTACCTTTGTGCGCACAACTGAAAAACCAGTCGTTGTTGCTTCAGAAGCAGACAACATTCGCGCCATTTCCACAAAGACATATGCGCTATATAGAGGCAGGGTTTCAAAATACAAATCTGTCTTTGTAGCTATAAGATGGTCTGAAGGTATTGGAATATTTGGACAATAATCTCATTTTTAGAAAAATTTGCACTTACGACATTGTTTCTCCGGGGGTGCGATATATTGAACTTGGAAATGATATTTTACATTATGAACGATCAGTTTTTCAATATCCACAATAATCATTTCAGAATAATAATTTTATTTAACCTCAGTTAACTTATCTAACATACCATATACATATGATTTTGTATCCAATTGTATACCGATATGATTTGTTTGTACTGTAGCTACTCCTTTTATTTTGTTGAGTTATTTTTAGTTCATTAAGTATTTTTTTAGTAGGATAGTTGTTATACAACTAAAGAATTTTATTATAATTATTAGTATTGCTCAGAGCAAACACACGTTTCAAAATATTCAGGGGAATGGAACCTATGCCTCATCCAGAATTTACCTTGTCCATATTGTTGATAATGATACTGTCCTTGTTGGGATCCAGCATAATTATATGAGGACTGATGACCACTTGAATTTCCGTAACTGTAACTCCCAGATGAAGACTGGCCTTGTGGTGTCGAGGAACTTTCTTTGTCTCTTTTCCTACTACTCGATGGCGTAGAGAAATCACTTGTGTTTTCCTTTTTCTTTGGCATTTTTTTTGTAGATTTTTGTAGACATTTCTGATATTGTTCTTTTGCGGCTTTCACAGACGCTATATTATCACTGTAATCTTCCAGGAAGAGAAGTTTTCTTTGTGCGAAAAGTACCTTAAATCAACGAAAAGCGTTTTTAATATTTAATTTTTCTAGCAAATATACAGTGTGTCCCGCTTAAGGACTGACCACCCTTCTAAAAGTTTTATTTTTCAACCGATTCAATTCATTTTTTTTTGTCTTGTAGCTACTCGAATTTGTCACTTATTAGGCTCATAATTTTATTTCTACAACTGCACTGGTTTACAGGGTGTCCACATTTATAGGCTCAAATTTCAATAAGTACTATTAGGGATTTTTTTAGAAAAAATCTGATAGCAGATTCTTGTTTAGAATTGTGTAAAACCCTAATGTACGAATTTTTGTTCCAATAGAATACAGAGTGATCAAAACAAATTTTCAAAATTTAATGAACCAAACCGGAAAAATTTCATATTTTGAGGCCTTGAGAACAACAAAACTTGATACAACATAGTTTTAGAACATCCTTAACCAAAATTTGTAGTAAGCTTGTCTCAAAATATAAAATTTTTACGGTTTGATCCATTAAATTTTAAAAATTTGTTGTGATCACCCTGTATCCTATTGGAACAAAAATTCGTACATTAGGGTTCTAGACCATTCTAAACAAGAATCTGCTATCAGATTTTTTCTAAAAAAATCCCTAATAGTACTTATTGAAGTTTGAGCCTCTAAATGTGGACACCCTGTAAACCAGTGCAGCCGTAGAAATAAAATTATGAGCCTAATAAGTGCCAAATTCGAGTAGCTACAAGAAAAAAAAAAAAAATAATTGAATCGGTTGAAAAATAAAAATTTTAGAAGGGTGGTCAGTCCTTAAGCGGGACACACTGTAGAAAGAGAAAGTCTTGTTACCTTTTGGTCTGGATCCACATTGTCTTTGGCCAAAAATTCGTCTAACACTTCCAAAACTTCTTTTGCGTTGAAATTCTTGCTCTGCATGAGCAAATCAACAAGTTGGAGGTAGAGACGGGGATTGTTTGGGTCTTTTACATTAGCAGATTTCAAAATCTAATGTCAAAAAAAAGGAGCATAATTTTTCTAAAAACGGAGTCAACAAGGCCGAGTGCCCACGAGAATACTTTCCGGCTGCCATTTTTTTATTTGTTCATCGATATCAACGGAACGAAGGCTTGATATTCTAACGAAACGCCATTTTTGTGCATCCACGACAAGTTTTCCTGACTTCCGGTTTCACCGGAAATTACCGAAACTTTCGATTTTCAACTGGCATTTTTTGTTTTTCAGATTCTACAGATTGTTTAACGTCGTAATGTACCACTTCTAAATCGAGTTTTGTCCAAATTTCGTTTTCATATTAAATTTCAAGTAAAAAAAAAAGAAATTACCTACATAATAAAGCAAAAATATTTGAACGAAAATTAGGAAAAATGTTGTAGTGTATTATATCTTTGGATTCGCTTCAAAATACTTCATTTAGTAATGTTATGAAAGTGATGTTTCTATTCTAGTTTTTGAACTATGGCAAAAATACTAAAATAATGAAGTTTACAGCCCTCTATCAAAGAAGTTTACAAAGATAAAATTGAGTTTGTATTTTTCTGAAACTAAGTAAAGTATGTAGAGTGATTCTAGGATGATGATGATGAAACTCTAATTAAAAAATTAAAATTTAGTTTGAAAACAAAATTTGGACAAAACTCGATTCAAAAGTAGTGCATCAGGATGTAAAACAATCTGTAGGAAAAACAAAAAATATACAGGGTGTCATTCAAAAATCAAAAGTTCCGGTCATTTCCGGTGAAACCAGAAGTCAGGAAAACTTGTAATAAGTGAATAAAAATGGCGTTTAGTTAGAATATCAAGCCTACCAAGTTTCGTTGATATCGATAGACAAATAAAAAAAATGGCAGCCGGAAAGTGATCTTGTGGGCACCCGGTATTTGAAAAAATCTTGGAAAAAAATATTTGTATATAACTAATTCATTAAAATGCTGAAACAATTTGAAGATTCTGAAAATTACCTACCTCTCTGGCTTTTCCAAAATCATCAAGCAAGTTGAGACAAAACCGCGAATATTTAACAGCAATATGACTGACTATCAGCTTATTTTTAAAATTCCCCATATAATGTTCAAATAAGTCGCAACACTGTTGAAATTTTTTTTGTCTTCTCTCCAAATTTATTCTAAAAAAAAAAAATTAATCCATTATTCCTTTTTGCTCCAATCTCCAATACAAACAGATTAATAGTATTATTCACGCAAACATTAAATCATTTCAGGTTATCTGAAAGCGATAAGCTTTACTTCAACATATCAGAATGTGCAATTGTAAGACGAGAAGCTATAATGTTTGACGACAGTCTGAACGCGGAAATCTTGTCCACTCACTGAAGTGCTGAACTTGGGGGTGACTATTGACAAGAAGAAAAGTAGAGTCGTTCGTAAAGTCTTTTTTTTCTTTCTACAAATCTGTCAATAATGCAAATAAAAATTTCACCTGAGAATGAAACTGCAAATTTTATTGCCGTTTGTAGAAAAAATAATATCTGCTTCGCTCATTCTGCAAAGTTTCACATGCGTGCCTCTAGAATGTACTTTTAACAGTTATTGAGTTATTTTTAAATTATGACTCAAATCGATTAAGGGCGGGTATTATAAAACTACTTTGAGAGTTAACTTAAAGTTAACTTCTGGAAATACATGTAATTCAAAAAGTTAACTTCAAGTTAACTGTCAAAGCAGTTTTATAATACCCGCCCTAAGTGTTACAAGCCATGTATTTATTTAACACTTGCAACTGAGCAATAAAAATGTTTAGTTTTATTCTGAAGGCCGGTTTACACTCTCGTTAGTAACAAGTGCAGGTGTGTAGTCTCAAACTCAAACTCAAAATGTGCTTTATTGTGTAAATATAAATATTTGTTCACAAAAGCTGATCCTATGTCTAAAAAATGAAGTACACAGTTGTAGTGAGGAAAAATATCTGAATGTATACCTACTTAAAATAGAAAAGCTCACAAAATATTTAAGAAATAAAAATCAGTCATAAAAAATAAAACTTAAAAGTAATAGTCATACAAATAAAACTTAAAAAACTCAAAAACTGTTTCTATTCAAGAACCAGAGAAATAATGGGCTCTTTCACTAAAATTTAAATACGTAATTTAAGTATAAAATCTCAAAGGAGGGACTATTTTAGGCATATATACAAAAAAAAAAATGTTCTACAAGGTTCAATAAGTTTTTCATAGGCAATCAAAAGTGCCTAAATTCAAACTATTTTAAAACGCGCCGATTTGCCGACGTCACATAAATATTCTTCATTTCGCTTATGTCGTTGCAAGGAGGAAGGGCTCGGCTGTGTTTGCGCTCTGTAAAGATACGTAAAGGTTCGAATGCGCTGTTGTCGGTTGTGACTAAATGTAGTGCAGCGTAAAATAAATAAATAAAACTAAACATAAAAAATTGCATTAAATTGTATTTAAGCATAATTTAAAAAAAAAATGTTATAAAATCTTGAATCTATAACTAATTAATTTAACTACTTTTCATGAGATTTTGCCAACATTTCAGAATTAAATCTATTACAAATTTTCAATGTTGACAATTAGTGGCAACACGGTCAAATTGCGAGCTGCGACGTCATAGAAATAAATTCTGGGTTTTTATTTGGAGGTATTTCTTTGTTTTCTGTTTTCTCAAGAAGGACTTTGAATTTTTCAAAAGTAAAAATACAGAAAATTCTGTTTTTAGTTGCTTTATCCAAATATGCCAATTTCAAAAATTAGTGAAAGAGCCCATTTAAAATGTATAATTTAAAGGAACAGAGAACATTTTTAACATTGAGGGCGATAAAACGTGTTTGGTTGTCGAATTGTGAACGGATCTGTCAAATTATTAGTGATGAGTGATAAGTGCAAGTAAATCAAATCGTGTTCTATTTTTTTGTTTAGTACTTACTCAACATGTCAAATTAACATTTGACACTTAACACTTGTAGTTAACAAAATGTAAACCGGCCTTTAGGCATACTCGCGATTTCTCTGATACAGTTTTTATACAGCACTTATATGTGAGTCTTATGAGAAGTCTGCTGGAATACGCAAATGTGGTCTGGTGCCTGAAATACTCAAGTCGATTCGATACCATTTGAAATCGCAGTTAAGGAACGCCAGTCATGGAAGAATATAAAGCTACCATGAGCTAAACTTCAAATTCTCTTTAGCAATGGGAAATATTTCCACTATATTTCAAGCCGAACTTTTTGCTATAAATAATGAATCAATGAAAATATTCTTTATTGTCCAAGAAAAAATTGCAAATGACAAAATGTTTCTTATTGACAAAACATGGAAAACTATGATAGTCTTTAAAAACAGTGACCTGAGTTCACTCCACAATAAGAAATATTTAAAATTAGAATAGTTAAGAAAACCTGACCAAAATTGCTAAGACTAAACATACATTTATAATATTACAGATAATTTGAGGCATCCATTACCATGAAATTTTTCCTGATTACCTGAACCAATAATCAAGAAGTCTATGATCAGGGGCAGGTAGCTAATGAATTGAATGTGTCTTTAGTTCTGTAAGTACTAAGCGAGCCAGTAAAATAAGTAAGCCTAAAAATATTCGAGGTCGTGTGGTTAGATACCTTATTATTTTGAGTAGCGATGCGAGATTTTCACAAGAGTTCTTAAAATGTTTTTCTTTATTTTCTGAAGAAAAGTTGTATTTTAAGGTTACACCCCCTTTAAGTTTTAGTTTCAAGTTTTATTTTGTGTATTTTATGCTGTTTATATTTCATTTATTTTATTCGGCTTTGTCAACAATAATGTAATTTTTTATGACAAGAAAGCATATTTGATTTGATTCGAATAAAAAGATAATTTAAAAGGCATTATTTTATGTTAAGCTCTGAAATAATTATTACCTTCCATAGGCTATCGACAACAAGTTTGGCACTTGTTTTTCGAGGTTCTCCAAAATTGCCGCTGCTCGAATCACGTTTCCGCAGTTCTCCTCAAACAGAGACCACTGCAAGTGTAAATTTGGTTTTTTCAAGTGATGTATGGTACAGGCTCTCTCATAAATCTCACGGATGCGTTGTTCTTGGTCGGTATTTTTTTTTTTGTCCCTGCTTTCCAGGAAACTGATGTATTTCATCCAAAATTCTTCGTAGAGGGCGCACGCGATCAGGCATCTTTCAAATAAAATGGCTATCCGCTGTTTATCACCCTGCCCAATCTCGTAATCCAAATATGCGTGCCAGTTTTTTAGTTGGCAACGTTCAAGCGGTTTAACATGGAAATATGGACGCTTAATCTGGAACCAATTTGGGTTTCAATAATTGCATATTGCATGCATTAACAATACTTTAAAACAGTCCAAATTTTAGACGACCTGTGCATATTCTTCATTTTTCAGGATTCTACCAGCCAACACTAGGCTCTAGGCAAAATCTATCCGTGCTTTTACAACATAATTAAAAATTCAGAAAATGGTTTGAAAAAAGTAAGTATTGTAGGGATTAGAATTTAATTCATAGTTTAGCGCCAAAATCGTTTGGGGTTCACTTTACGCTTGAAGAGAGTAGGGTTAGAGAGGTTATAACGATTAGGATGGAAACGAGATTATAATTATTTTTGCTAAGGATTTATGATGAAAATACCGATTCGTACTAATTACACATTCTAAGAAAGTGAAATTCGAAGATTGTTTTAGTTACCCAGCACCTAACAGTATGCAAGTAAAAATCACTTACCCCTTCCTCAAAGTTCCAACGTGCCTGAACGGCATTTGCAGTTTGTTTATGCACTTTTCTTCGTGTTGTTATTATACGTTCTCTTATAGCTTTTGATTCATCGTCAGTGCTACATAAGAAAAGAATATGTATATATAGTTATTATGTATACTGAATTTTGCAGTTTTTGCGTGCAATGGGCTCTTTCACTAATTTTTGAAATTGGCATATTTGGATAAAGCAACTAAAAGCAGAATTTTCTGTATTTTTACTTTCGAAAAATTCATAGTCCTTCTTGAGAAAACAGAAAAAAAAGAAATACCTCCAAATAAAAACCCAGAATTTATTTCTATGACGTCGCAGCTCGCAATTTGACCGTGTTGCCACTAATTGTCAACATTGAAAATTTGTAATAGATTTAATTCTGAAATGTTCGCAAAATATCATGAAAAGCAGTTAAATTAATTAGTTATAGATTCAAGATTTTATAACTTTTTTATTGAATTTATGCTTAAACACAATTTAATACAATTTTTTATGTTTAGTTTTTTTTTTTTACGTTGCACTACATTTAGTCACCACCGACAACAGCACATTCGAACCTTTACCTTCTTTTACTACAGGGTAACACAGCCGAGGCGGTCAGCTCCTTGTAACAACAAGCGAAATGAAAAATATTTATGTGACGTCAGCAAATCGGCGCGTTTTAAGTCAATTTGAATTTCGCCAATTTCAAATGCCTGTAAAAAACTTATTTAACCTTGTAAAACATTTTTTTTTGGATATATTCCTAAAATAGTCCCTCCTTTGGGATTTTATACTTAAATTACGTATTTAAATTTTAGTGAAAGAGCCCATTGTACTTGAAAACTGCATTTCCCAAAAAAATACCGAAGTAGGTACTCTAAAAAAATTGTTGCAAGTAATTTGTTCATAGAAATTGGCCCACCGTAATTTATTGAGTTCAAGACCAGAGTTACCCAATTCCTTGATTCCTAATATTTGTCCCTAATTCTCAATTCTTAAAAAGTTCAATTTATTTAACATTGGTGTTTTTAACGATTAGGAATTAAGAACAAAAATTAAGAATCAAGGAATTGGGTAACCTCGCCCTAAATTTGTTTTCTAGAAACTATCCATCGGATCCAAAAAATATATAATATGCTTTGTAAATAAGTATGCAAACATGCTTTATTGTCCAAATATATAAAAAATCCTTGAATATATAATAATAATAATAATCATAATAATAATAACAGCCTGTATTGCTGAAAACAGTCCATATTGTGCGAAGGGTGTTATAGAAACATCAATATAAAAGTGCACTTGGTGAGCTTCATACTCTAGGTACCATAAGAAGCAACTTATGTGAAACACCGCAAATAATAATAATAATAGTAATAATAATAAAAATTCAAGTCATTCGTTAGATACATACCTTTATCCCAATTCAAAATATAGAACAAAAAAAATACAGCTACACGAAAAGCATAGATACATCATAGAGCAAAACCATATATCAAAGAAACTCTCATATAAATAGCTTCAAGATAGACAACTTTTTCCTGAAACTGAGGGATTTCTCCTTACAATTCAAGATCAAGTAATAGCCACATTAAACTACCAAAAGTATATACCTAATAAAAGAATCCAGTGGCGTATCCAGCCTGAGGTTCTGGGGGGGGGGCAAACCTGGTATGTCTGCCATAGGCGGAAATTTTTTTTTGAGGTGCCACGCCCAAAAGTCTTCAAAACCACACAATCGAGTATTTGCTCGCTTCTCTCAATACTTTTGTAGGACAAAATATATAATATTTTCACAGAAAAATAAGGTATTGCTATGGTTCCGTAATATTAGCCTGCCAGCCACCACTGAAAAAATCTTTGGGCTGCTCATTATAACGATAAGAGGTTGATAACTGGAATTATTTGTTTTTCTGAGAAATCGACTTTCAAGAAACAAGTAGGTAGCATGTGTAACATAAAATCAAACTGAAATTTTATTCAAAAGTCAAAGATATACAGGGTGCGGCACGAAAAACTTCCCATCCAGGTTTTATCAGGTGTCAGGTGATAAATCAAAAATCGCTCGGACACATCACTTTTTGTTTTTGAGGGACTTTATTTATTGATATTTTCACCCCTTACCTGTGAACCCCTAAGCGGGGGTGACAGGTACCAGGTACCCCCCAAAAGTTCAAATGGAAAGGGGGGTCGAGTGATGCGTCATTTGTTAGCTATTTTTATTAAGATTATATCCCCAAAGTTTCAAATTGCTACTATCAACCCTGTCGAAATATCTTGTCAAAGCTATGTGTTTTTTACCTCATATTAACAAATTAACATATTTTTCAAGTGAAACCATTTTGAACTGAACTGTTGAATGACGATACTTAGATTAAATGCCAATGTTATTTTATCACTATGGATAGGTACGCTTCAAAAATCTGTTGTTTTGTTATGTGGTAAAAATCACACAGTTCAGATACTCGGAAAAAAGCATTTTTCCTAACTTTGACACACTGCCATTTCGGTAGAGAAAATAGTAGCAGCTTCGACAGCAGCACTCGACCCCCTTTTGCATTTGAAATTTTGGAGGTACCTGTCTCCCCCGCTTAAGGGTTGACAGGTAGGGAGTGAAAATACCAATGAAATGTGTCCCCCGAAAAACAATAATTGACGTGTTCGAGCAATTTTTGATTGATCACCTAACACCTGAGAAAACCTGGGTGGGAAATTTTTCGTGCGCCACCCTGTATAATAAATACTTTAAATTACTAAAAAAATTCACACTGGAATAACTAAAATATAAATATTACAGGGTGTTCCTTAATACTAAATATCATGCAGGTACAAACGGAACGGGGCGATTCTTTGGTTTTTTCTTATGACTAAATAAAATTTCAAAGAAACATGGGTTAAGCCCAAATTTGAAATATAGGTTACGCAATAGGAGCTAAATGATTGTACATTCCACAGAAAGATTGAATCATAAAGGTACCTTTTGCATTACCAGCTTCACCAGACAATTATTATTGCTTTTCAGAAATATGGTTTTTGTGTTTTTGGTGGTGTCGCCTTTTGACAAAGTCTGAGCCCTGATAAGTGCTGATGGCTCAAAGGCGAAAGCGCTAGGCAGCTAGTAATATACATTACGCTGAATATAAAACTAGTATTTTGACTTTTATTCCCTGATTGTCAAGCACAGCGTACAACTGAACAGTTTCTATTTACAAAAAAGCTACCTGTTCATGTAGTTGAAAAAAGTATTATTTATTAAATTAATTTCAGTACATTTTTGAATTTATTTTTTTATTATTTGACAAATTTTTAAAAAATAAAAGGAATAAGAAGATGTTGCTCTGGGGGGGGGGGGCAATTGCCCCTTTGCCCCCTACTGGATACGCCAGTGAAAGAATCTAACATAACATTAGCATACTGATATGTGCAGAAAATGTCATCAATTAAAAGAAACCATAGAGACCATATTACCAGTGCGTGCAAAATCTTAGCAGGTACAGACTACACCGAGAGACATAACATGGTAGAAAGGATTATCCATCAGGCACTCGCAAAAACATACAAACTAATTACAGAAGAAACACCATACTATGAGTATACCTACCCCAAACACAATCAAAGATACCAACGAATATAAACTATACTGGGATGTAGAAATACGCACAGATAAAACAATAGCATGCAATAGACCAGACATCGTTTTTCAAAATAAAAAAGAATATATCACTTATCTCATAGACATAGCCATACCCAATGATTCCAACATTCAAAACAAAAATAACGAAAAAATAGCCAAGTACAGAGAATTGGGCCTAGAAGTTCAGAACGTCTGGAAACCAAAAAAAGTAACTGTCATACCATTCGACATATCCACCACTGACCATTCGATACGCACCTTAAGCAGCTCAGGCTCAAAATTAATCAAAAGTCCTCAAACGTGTGATATAGTAAGATCATTCCTTAATTCCAGTGGTAGACACTGAAATAGGTTGACAAGCCCGCTATTTCGGAGAAGTAACACCACTTTTCGAAAAAATGAGAAAATTTTTAAATAATAATAATAATAACGACTTCATTGCAATTTTAAAGAAAATGAAAATTAGGCTTCCTCACCTAACCCAATGCTAGAACTTAAACCTAACCAATATAAATGAATAGGTACAGAGAAACACTCATCCAAGATGACACTTAACTAAATGATTTATAATATAAAAAATACCATAGCACTAACTTAAGACGACTTAAAAAGGGAATGAATTGGAAACTGTCAGAAATTTGGAGCAGTTTAGCAAATGCCTTTCTAATACAATTATTAATATGTTCTGTAAATCTCAGGTTAGCATCAAGCAAAATTGGACCATCAAGGCTAATTTGAGGCATGTTCTAGAATTGACATCAGCTTCGCGCAAGTCCAGAAATTTGATGAATTTTTGGAAATAGGTATAAGAAGACGTGTAGGGAAAAGTTACACAGAGATATAGGAAAAAAAAATTCCTCTCAAAGATATGACGTCATTGATCTTTTTTTTCTTTGATTGGAGCTCATTTTGCTTTATATAATCTCAAAAATCTCAATAGGTTTCATTAGATAGTTATTTATCTAGGAAGCGTTATGTCAAAAATTTGACTTCTGGTTTTATTTGGCGATAGAAGTGTAACGTGGCTGAGTCAGAGGTTGACGAAGAAGCGGCATTTATAAAAAAATTCATCTACATTACCAAGATGTTCAGGAATAGATTTCTATTCAGAACCGTAGCCTCCCAGTCGCCGCATCGATTTGCCACGCTTTCATGTTTACCTTGAACACTTCTTTATATCGTTTAAATTGCCTTCCTCAAGCTTAAGAATGCAATAAGTGGTTTTGACTCTAGTGCTAAGGCTCACTGTATTCTAGTACATGTCCAACAAAACTCAATTTCAGAATTATCAGACAATTCGCAACTCGAGAATGATCTGTCCAACAAGCAGGTGGAAGTGGTTTTTTTTAAGGATAATTCCGATTCTGCAAAATATACCGTTAAATAAAAAAATAAAAATTTGTTTTTCATACTTTCACTTGACATTCAGTCAATTAGAAACAAAACAGGGTTCTTTCTATATTTATCGAAGACCAGAAATCTTATTAATTACTGAACATTGGTTCAAACCTCATGAGCCATGTTATGCTTTTTTCACACGTGAAATTGCCAAAATTGGATGGCTAGAGGAGTGGTAATGTGGCATCACATCAGCGTTATGCAGTGTTTCAAATGTTATGAATATGGCCATTATGCCAAAGATTGCAATTAAGAAATACTTTGTTCAAATTGTGGAAAATAGCACTCATATAAGGAGTGCCAAGTGACAGATAAAGTGTAGCAACTGTGAGAGTCAAAAGAAATAAGAAACCGACCTTGATAGCCGTCATTCAGTCCTGCATCGACCTGTATAAATAAGAGTTGTGAGTGATTGATTTTAAAACCATTATTCTTAATGGACAATTGACCTTTTTGCTGTAGTGAAACCTGGTACTAGCAAACTATGATATTATTAGTCAAGAGAGAACGCAAATTAGTGTTTTTCGGCAAAAAGGAACTCGAATGTAATGCAACAACACAGACAGTCTGAAAAAGCTTAATTTGTATTATTATTATTATTATTAATAATTATGCGTACCAACTACTAAACAAATGAAATGTATTTATGCGGTTGTTTCAACGAAAATTACAGCCTGTGAAAGATAATCAAAAATAGATCCTTACGTGTAAAGCTTAGTATCCTCGTCGCCAGGCGGCAGGTCTACATTCTCCGGTTTTTCTTCAGATTTTAGTGTGGTGCGCACTTCTTTGCGAATCGCCATAAACTCGTCCACACCTAAAATTTTGTTGGGTGAGTTCGAAGCGACGTGCTCTTGGAAATTGTCAAAATGAGTGGTGTAGAGGTAAATTGGAACAGCAAGGAGCCTGTCGTAGATCGAGGTGACTTTTTGTACTCGTTTTCCATCAGTTTCCCATTGGATGTAGGCTTCCCATAATCCGTCCGCACGGAATTCAAGGCCGCAGGCGCTGATCGCTCTCTCGAATTGCGTTCTAAAGGAATCGTAACAATAGTGCATTTAAAAATGTGTGGAAAATTACCTACTAGTCCAATAGGATTTACTAGGTAATTCAAAAGTCCATAACATATACAGTAAAATATTTCCTATGGGCTAGGCACACACCTTCACGACGATTGAAACGTGTTTGCCAATAATAAAATTGTGACCAATAACATTATATTCTAAAAGTAACTGACTAAAACCATAAACATTTTTGAGAAGAAAACCTCACACTGCTGTTCTTCCATAGAGAGCATCTTATTACTAACATTCACCTCCTTTATTTTCCAAAATCTCACAAGTAGTTCTCGGATATCCATATGCTAGTAAAATTACTCTGTATTGTTGACATATTTGTATTCACCACCAATAACCCAGCCAAACCGTGTTTTCTGTAATGTTGGCATTCCCTGACATGACCGAATTTGGCCAATGCATAGTAAATAATTGAGATAAACAGTACAACCTATGAGTAATTGAGATGTGCATTTAATTTTGTATTTATTTAGAAAAGGTAAAACGCGCAGTTTGCCAAATTTTTCAATTACTTTGGATGAAGTATGGAGCAGTACATCATAGTCATTAGCCTGCGCACTGAAAAAGAGCGTTGATAGCCTCCTCCAAACCCAAATACTGTCCCAATCAGAAGCATTATTGTTTTTTATTTCCCAAAGGTCTCCTTCCTTTCATTGACATAATTAAAAAAAAGTTGCCACTCATACTGATGTCAGTCTTCATGACAAAGGATCATCAGCCTCAGGAATTCCCTGTGAGAAGCTTAAAGCTACCAGACCGTATAGATAACTAAGATCATCAAACTTGGTGATAGATGATGCCCTGACTACTTTCCTTAGATCGTTAATAATGGACTCTATCACTAATTTTTAAATTGACATAAGTACAGGGTGGCCCAAATTCGAGCCTCATCATTGGGATCTCGGTAACCGTAAGAGGTACGGGGTCGGTTAAATTATGGCAAAGTTGCGCAATTTTACGACCAATAGAATGCCGTTTTGAAATTAGAAAGATTCCGAATACTTCCGGAGATATTCGGAAAAAACCAAAATTTTGTTAAATCGTTTTTATTTTTACCCGGTGTTAAAGCCCGACATTTGTGTTTGATTCAAGTTGCTTTTGAAAACTCTGTATCTTTTAGCACCAGTTAGTTTTTAGTTGACGAGTTGTCAAGTTGTCAATAAATTAATGAAATGTTTCAAAATCCTGTCCGTTTTCCTCCCCGAATTTGGCGAATTTGAGCTGAACAAAATAAAAAATAATAGAGATTGTTTCGATTCCTATGTTTTTTTTCCTATATGTTACATCCTTCCTAACCGGGTCCACCTGTGTTTTGTTAAAGTTTAAAAATGTCCTGCATAGACCCCAGGACGAGAAGCGTGTGTCCATGTGTTTATCCTTTTTGCTAGATTCCTTCCTTTTTTTTTTTATCTGTATATCGTTGGGTGAATGGTTAGCTAAAGTTTGAACTTTTGAATTATGTTTTCGTGGCTAAGTGAGCTATGCTCAAAGCCAGAAAAAAAAAAAAAAAAAAAAAAAAAAAAAAAAAATAAAAAATATACAGTCCACAAGTTTCAAAGCGAATATGGAATCAGCGAAAATATTGATTAATTGAGAATAATCGAGTAAATTTCAGGTGAAAGGTGAATAAACACCAGAATTCCGGCAACAGGTAACAGGAGAACTTGAAGGTTAAAGAAGGTAAATTCAAGATTCAATTAGATTGATTGTGAAACAAAGGAGAAAGAAGAAAAGTGTCGTGTTCCACTACAGACATTGGGCAAATTTCTTTTGTTATATCTTGAGTAAGTTCGTTCTGATTTTAATAATTTTTGTAAATACCGATATTTGAGTCAATAATATGGCAGAATCAGCAAACCTAAAAGTAAAACTGGGTATAATTAAAGGAAAACTTACAAGATTAGAAAATTATTTTAAATCAATAAACAAAGATAATGTTGAACATAATTTAGTGACTGAATTACAGTCTCGTTTAGATCGGTTGATGCCGATGTATGATGAATTTGAAGAAATTCAGCTTGAAATAGAGCAAACTAGTAGTGTAGTCGATGATTTAGATTATTCAGCAGATGATGCTGAGAGAGGTGATTTTGAGAAGGTTTATTTTAAATTAGTAGGTGAAATCACTGCCTTCATAAATAAACACCAGATAAAAGATGATGCTAGTAATGGTTCCGTGGTTAGTTCAAGACATGGCTCAAATAATAATAATATTGTTAATGTAGTAAGTAAGTCTGTTGTTAAATTGCCGCCAATTAAGTTGCCAACATTTGATGGGCAATATAGTAGTTGGTTAGAGTTTAAAGATTCCTTTATAGCTCTAGTTGAGAAAGAAATTTCGTTAAATGGCATTCAGAAATTTTATTACCTAAAATCTTCACTTAGTAAAGAGGTTCTAGAAATAATAAAATCAATAGAAGTTTCTGAAGCTAACTATATTGTTGCATGGCAATTTTTAACAGATCGGTTTGAAAATAAAAAACTTATAATTTATAACCACATACGAGCAATATTTGATCATCACAGTTTAATGAAGGAATCATATATTGAATTGCGCAACTTGTTTGATACAATTACAAAACATTTAAGAGCGCTTAAATCTATGGGGGAAAATACTGACTCTTGGGATCGATTAATTATATATATCATGACTAATAAATTTGATGCAACAACTCGCCGTGATTGGGAGAGTTACAAATATCAGAGTGAACTACCAACCATGAGTGACCTTAACAGTTTCCTTAAGTTGAAATGTGAAGTTTTAGAAAAATTGGAGGTGTCAAAAGTACATAATAAAGTGCTAGAAACAAGTAGGTATAATAAATATGAAAATAAATATGCATTTAGAAAAAATAAAGGTGAAAGCCAAAGTTATTCAGCTGTAGAAAATAATTCAGATAGCAGTTTTAAGTGCTACTATTGTAAGGAGTCACATAGTATATTTAAATGTAATTCATTTTTACAATAATTATCTGTGAATGATCGTATAAGTGAAGTCAAGCGGCTGAAATTGTGCTTAAATTGCTTTAGGAATTCTCATCCCTCCTGGAAATGCCAAAAATTTAAATGTAGAAAGTGTAATAAAGCACATAATTTATTATTGCATTCAGATTCATATAATAATAAAAATTCTATGCCAACCGGTGATAGAACAAATTTTGTCCAAAAAACCTCAAAATCGTCAGAAGTCAGGAACAGCAGCGCCACTTCCAGTCTCGTTTCAGGGTCAAACAATTATTCTGTGAACTCACATGTTGCAGGAAGCAGCCATGCCGTCACTATTTGGCACATACAGTGGAAGCTTCTGTAGCGTCAGGAAATTCGCAAGTTTTGTTGTCTACAGCGATGATTCAAGTAACCAATGGAAGACATAAAGTGACGGCAAGAGCATTGCTAGATAGTGGCTCTCAGAGTAATTTTTTGTCTCTAGGAATATGTAAAAAATTGAACTTAAAACAATCAAAAATAAATCATGCAATAAAGGGTGTAGGTCAAACGTTGACCAATATCAATTATCAAGTAAATGTAACTATTGAATCTTGTATAAGCAATTTTAAGAGTAATTTAAGCTGTTTGGTACTTCCATCGATCACAGAAAAATTACCTATAATGTCATTTAATAAAGAAATCCTTAATATTCCATTTAATTTACAATTAGCCGATCCCAAATTTAATGTTTCGAGTGAAATAGATATGTTGTTAGGTTCGAACATATTTTGGACAATTATGAGTTCAAATCAGATTCGTCTTGGCCCAAATTTGCCTTTATTACAAGAAACTGCTCTAGGTTATGTCATTGCAGGAAATTTGTGTTTTGATGAAAATCATGAATCAGTTAGTTGTTTGAGTATAGTAGATCAAAATTCTGTTGAAAACACTATTGTTAAATTTTGGGAAGTTGAAGGAGTGAGTAATAATAAGGTAACCATGTCAGATTCAGAGAAATATTGCGAAAATTACTTTCAGAATACAATATCAAGAGATCAGTTAGGTAGATTTATTGTGCATGTACCATTCAAGAATAATTTAGATTTGTTAGGAGATTCAAGTACCATGGCGAGAAATAGATTTTATTTACTAGAGAAGAGATTGTCTAAAAATTCACAGTTAAAATCGGACTATGTATCATTTATGGACGAATATAGACAGCTTGGGCATATGTCTGAAATTATAGATTACAATGATAACGGGTTTTACTTACCGCATCATGCAGTGTTTAAGGATAGTATTACTACTAAGTGTCGAGTAGTGTTTGACGCGTCGGCTAAAACAACCCACTGAACATGCAATGTTACGAAAGCCTAATGCAATATTACTCTGATATTCTCTGATCTTAGTTTCGCAACATTACAATGTAATATTGAATTATTTTTGACACAACATTACGTTAATAAATTACAAAATGGAATATCCTTGAAATTTTAACGTATATTAGAAATTATAACTTGTACGCAAATTAACATTGTAAATATGCATTTAAATTGAACTGGTATAATTTTTGCAATGTTATAATAACTACCAAATGTAAACTTGCTGCAAAATTGGAAATATAACTTGTAGGTAAGGTTACATCGCAAAGATGCCTTAAAGTTGTGTTGATATTATTTTGCAATGTTATAATTTAATATTGAATGTAAACTTGCTGCAATATAGCAGAAATAATATATTGGAAAATCGAAAGCTTTGCCGCCATTAATAACGATCGGAACGACATCGGGGATACGAACTAAACCGAAAGCAAATCGACGCCATCAAGTCGCTGTTTGTCGTTTGAGTTGAGTGCTGTGTCTGCTTGTTGAATGTTGTGTCTGTGATAAAGCGAATCTCGGCTAAATTTTTGGTGTTTGTGTTGGGATTATGTATTGGATCGGTTCAGGTAGTGCTTTGCTTTTTGGTTATTTTTATTATTCAGTTTTTATTTTAGAATCTGTGGAAATGAAATAAATATACAGCGAT